ACCTCCCCCCCCACTTCAAACCATGACACTGGGTGTACATGAGGAGGCACAGCCAACCTCCCTTCAAGAGCTGGTCACTGGGCTTTTGGTTGAACTACTGAGTCCCAATTTGCATGAATGAAAAATGAATTTCTTTAATGATACCATGAAAGTAAGTGTACAGGATTGTGCTTTTCCCATCTGCCCAGTCAGGTGAAGGAAGTGAGCTCTTCTTTGGCCACCCACTGATGGCTGAAGAAGCTGAGAGGTGGAGGAGCACAGTATTCCTCTCCTAACAGCTCACAGCTGCCTAGGTAGTGCCAAGGTTATGGGCAGTTACTGTCTGTTAAGAAGCCTGTGACTCAAATGCAGTCACTTCTTGCAGTGCCTGGTTGAGAGTATAAGGAGTTAAAATGCCTGGACTTCCACTGCCATCTCCTCTTCATTACAGGGCTCAGACCAGCAGCCCCTTCTTTGCTAGCATGGCTTTGATGGCGCAGCTAGGGGTGCATCTCTGCCATGTACCCGACATTAAGGTGAACCGTGTTTTCAGAGTTTACTCCGAGATACATTTTGAAATACATGTTTTCTCACTCTCACTTGTAAAAATGACTGCTTAACCCCCGATAAACCCCAAAGCCCACCATGCTCCATTAAGAAATGGGCTAGCGGGGTTTCTGCTAACGGGGTGATGCGCAGAGCGCTCTGTGTCCGCCTACTGCTTACTGAAGTTGTGTTTTGTCTTCCAGACTCTGACCTGAGCATGCGGACGCTCAGCACACCCAGTCCAGCATTAATATTTCCACCGAATTCCCCTGGTTTCCAGAATGGCAGAGGGTCGTCGACGTCTTCATCCTCAGTCACTGGGGAAACTGTTGCCATGGTCCACTCGCCACCTCCAACCCGTCTCACTCATCCTCTCATCCGGCTGGCGTCCAAGCACCAGAAGGAACAGGCCAACATAGACCGGCTGCCCGACCACTCCATGGTCCAGATATTCTCCTTCCTGCCCACCAACCAGCTGTGCCGCTGTGCCCGTGTGTGCCGCCGCTGGTATAACCTTGCCTGGGACCCCCGACTTTGGAGGACTATTCGCCTGACCGGCGAGACAATCAACGTAGACAGGGCTCTTAAAGTGCTGACCCGGAGGCTTTGTCAGGATACCCCCAACGTATGTCTCATGTTGGAGACGGTAATTGTTAGTGGCTGCAGGCGGCTCACAGACAGAGGACTCTACACCATTGCCCAGTGCTGTCCAGAACTGAGGAGGCTGGAGGTGTCTGGCTGTTACAACATCTCCAATGAGGCGGTCTTTGATGTCGTGTCACTGTGCCCAAACCTGGAACACTTGGATGTGTCAGGTAACAGGAAATATTTCAACACGGGTGCCTCCGATTCTAAAAGTCTCATGCTTGTCAACCACCTGGCCCCACAACAGCATGCTTTCCCTTTCTGTGTGGTGTTTCAAAGTAGGAATGCCAGTCTGCTAACACTGCACTGGTGAGACAGGCAGCACTAGAATCTTAATGCCCCAAATGCCAACAGCACTTGTTGAGTGGCCAGGCTTCCTCCGATGGAGACGAGCCAGCAGAGATGGCCCGTTCAAACAGCATGAGTGGTTTTTCTAGATTTTTGCACAAAGCATCCTTACAAGGGCCCACGTTGCAGTCAGTGCTACATCGGATGATGAAGGCTGGTTACTTCAGCAAAATTTGTTTTATTTTTCATATATATATAAAATTTGCGTGTAGATTTTATATATATATGTAGATATCTGTAGTCTGCTAAATGAATCAAGGAGGAGCTCAGAATCAGTGCTAGGCTTTTGTCTGGTTGTAAATATCAATTGTCATCCTTAGCTAAGCTTCAAGGTCCCCTTGTTTCCATTGCTATTTTAACCAGACTTCGCTAGTTTGGACTTTTTTTTTTTTTAGTAGTGTATTTTAGACAGTTTTCCTCAGACCTTCTCTGGGGAAACAAGATGTTTATTCCCAAGGTCAGCCACACAGAATTTCCTCTCTGCAAATAGGCTGGCACTTAGCGGAAAGGATGTAGCTAAGCAGAGCGCTGAAATAATTTTTATGTTCAGTGCTTATTTTGTGATCTCATTTGTTATTAGTCTAATGTTTTTATTAATCAGCTGGACCAGATTTGCCATTGCAGAGAATGGCAACAAGCAAGATGAAGTGGGGATAGAAGGCAATGCTACTGAGTCTGCTACCCAGATAAACTGATTTTTCAAAGGCTGCCTATCTGGTGTATACTCATTTGCTTTCTTTTTTCTGCTTTTTTTTTTTTTTTTAGCTGATTTATCCAACGATGATATTATCCAACCTGATTATTTATCCAACCTGATATTCCTAGGATGGCAGAATGTCATGGAAGACATCAAAACAAATATCAACAAATCAGAATTATTCACTTTTTGAGATTGTTCTCTGAAACTGCCAGGTGGTAAGGAGTCTCTGCGGGACTCCATGAGAGTCCTGTCCCATGGAATCTATTTGCAATGACATTGCGTATGAATTACTTACTGTCAGTACCTACTGATGTTAGCTCTGGATTGCTAACAACATGTTCAGGCTGAAGCATCTCCTACACCAGGAGAAAATGTATGTGCCTGTGTGATTTAGACCTAGAGCTACGTATCACTTTGAAGGTTGTCTGTATCCCTGGTATATTTATGCTTTTCTTACTGCATCCTCTAGGATGGCATGGAGAGTTGAGTGGCTCAAGTGGCCTGGAGAGACAGGACAAGCAGAATTGCTGAACTGAAGATGACCTGCCTTGGCGCACTAGTCTGTTAGCTGACACCCTGAGTGCACTTGGAGCTTTCCATGTCGGTTGCTGAAAACGCTTTGGTCCACAGCTCCTACTGATAGATATGCTGTAGACCGAAGGTGACTTTTTCAAAAGCAGGGAAAATAAGATGATACCAGGTCTTGAAACAGATTCTTTTGGAGTCTGTCTTCATTTGTGGTTTCTCCAAGCGTGTTACTTTCAGATCTAGAAGATGGTGTCTGTCTCTAAGAGCTCATCAGTTTGGTCCAAAGTGTGTAGAGCGCGAGTAAAATACCCACCTTTGAATTTTCTCTTGTCAGCGGGACAGGAAAGTAATTTTAATCTCATGTTTTTCTAAGTTGTCCTTTCTTTTTGGATCAGATGAGGGAAAAATTCTGGTTTTGAACATGCTCAGAAGACAGGGTGTTTGGGTTCAGACATGGCTTTTGCTGCATCTGCTTGCATATGAATTGAGGATAATTGATCTCTGAGATGTTGTTTTGAGTCCACTTTTTTCGTTCTGATGTGAGTAATCTTGGAGGGTGTTTTAGAAGCAGGATTCCATTTTCCCCTCTTTCTGTCTGTAGTTAGGAGGACAAGGCTTGCACCTACACACTCAAGCAATTCTCGGGACTTGAAGTTGTTCATTGGTTTGGTTTCGTACTGAGCAAGAGAAGTTGGGTACATGTGCTGGGGAATAATGCTATACTTGTAGCTAGTTAATTAAAACACAGTTCACAGTTGTACATCTAGTTGAATCCCTCTCCTCCTTGGATGGTTACTTGCCAGCAATAATGTACCAAAATCTTTAATGTCAAAACCAGATGTTCATATTAACTTTCAGAGTTTTCCACAATGTAAGTTCTGTCACTCTCAGCATCCACTTTGTGGGCAGGTCTGAGATATCTCTAGAAGTTGGTTGAGCTTGACTGCAAGTTATTATCTAACATGCTAGCCAACATTTTTTTCAATCTGTTTGGAAGTTCCTCCTCTATTTTAAAAATCAATTATACTTACTTTATGGAAAATTCCATTACAAGAGCTTTGTTTTTACATTTTTTATTATTTAGGACAGAAAAATTGTCGCAGACCCAGGAACCTGTCATTTTGCCTAATAATCAAGCAGTTCAATATCAACATGGAGTCTTTTTCTGGTGAAACCATTTTGAGTATCCTTCCCATGAAATATTTTACAGTGTAGCCAAAGTAACTAGACAAGGCAATGGTGAGCTTGTCAAAACAGTGATCACACACTGATGTAAGTGACTCCAACCCTGCTGCGAGACTTCTAACGCATTCACTTTCCAATTGTGGTCATTAAAACGTTCCCCCTTCTTGGATCCTCAGCAGACAGAGCATTCTCCTTGGCCTCATGAACCCTTCATTTTCACTTAGCAGGATTTTAAAATTGAATTCTGGTCAGCGTGTAAAATATCCAGACTGACTTGTTAATCCAGCAACCTCCTCGGGCAAAAACAATAGTGACAGCTACATCAGGTCCAGCAGAACCCTGCCTAGGTGCCAGCTGCTTCTGTGGAAACCCAGCTCAAGGATGAGAACTCCTGTGGTGCATTTTGTATCACCTACTCCAAAGAACATATTAGGGGTGAAATTTTTACACCATTAGTATTGTAGTGCTTCCCTTTAGAAAAGTCACTTTGCATTATTGACCGTGTATGCAGTACTCATTTGAGGGCAAATGTATCTCCAAAGGTTGCACCATAACATAGAAGGATCTATAACACAGTCTGAAGAGGAAATAGCAGCATTCAGTTTTAAGATAATGTTGTTCATTGAACAAAGTGCTTTGCTTCAAGGTCCCAGAGTTTCTGCTTGACCTGTGGACAATTTGCCCATTTCATTGTGTGAGGCCTAAGGTAAAAGGAGCATCTGTTCAAATGATTTGAAACCTAAATTAAAAATCCAGCTGCAAATTCAAGTGATGAATGTAGAAGTCTAATCGCAGGCAACAAACTGTTTCAAGTCCGCATCCCACGCTTCTTACAGCCTTTGTGTGATCCTACTGGATTATCTGAAGGGATTTATTTTACTTTTTGTTTTTAAGAACTGAAGCATATTCATACCTTCCAATAAACCTCTAAATGAGAAGCTGTTGTATCAAGTGGTATAGGTTTGAGTCATTTGAGTTTTTGACGCGGTCTCCATACATTGTCATGCTCTTTACTTCCAGACTCCAGGATTTGTGCAGCTTTTCTGATACACGCAGGTTTAAGGTCATCATGCTAATGTCTCTTGCTTTTCATGGGTCACTTCATCCCTGTTGGCTACTGTTTCAGCAATACAGAAAAGCTCCTTTTATCCCTACCTGAGGGCATGTCTTTAGGCATAAACTGCAGAATTTGTCTGAGTAGACATTATGGCTAAAACTGTTGGGCCTTGGTCACTAACAGGTAGACCCTCCCTTCTCCCTTGCAGCTCTTTCTAACTATGCTAGTGCAATGTCCCCAGCTGGACTTGGCACAGAGAAGAATTTCCCTTCAGGAGCCCAAGACTGCCAGTTTGCAGTGCAGCAGAAACAAAACTTTCCAAAAAAGCTTTCCTTCACCACCACGCACAGAGTGGAGGTTAAAAATGGGGGGAGTCTGTGATCGTGTTTTTCCCTTTAATCTAGCTCTTTATCTTTCCTTGTAAGGTCTGGTGTTTCTCCTCTAGTCTAGCCACTTCCATTAATAGCCAGACTTTCTCACTTGAAACAGTTTTTTCCTGCATCTGTCCATGTCCTCTCATGCCCTTACCAGTCTGTTGGCTCCTGCTGACTCTCCCCATTCTCCTTAGGTTACCCGTATCTCCACCCTTTTGCAAACACACAGTCTTGCCATAGTTTTGCATCCTTCCCACATTGCAGGCTTGGGGCTGGATTCACATCTGTTCTCCAAATGTTTTCTGGAGAGTGGGTGGGGTTTGTCTTTTTCATAATGGGGTTGAATGGTGAAAGAGCTTCTGAGGTTGGTTTACAAATTCAGCCAGTCAGCAATGAGACTGCTTCTGATCAAAAAGCTACTTTGGTTGTCATGTAGTACCATTTTCTCAAATTGTCACTGGATTTATATTGCAGTAACAGACCATAGACTGTCCCTAGATAAACCTAGGACCATCATTTTACGTTTGGGGTGTGGACAAAATCAGTCTGTCACTTTGATGCTGCTCCAAATCCCAAAGCAACCTCATTAGCTCCAGTGGAGTTTATTATTTCCTCTGGTGTAGGGACACATCACAGCAAATCCAGGCTAGTCAGTCAGATGATCCTGCTCTTGCAACACGAAGATATCTTCATCACCTCCAGCGTGCAATTTCATGCCCATCTTTCTGGTCTTGCCGTGTGATTTGTTTTTACTGCTTGCTTAAATCCGCTGTGTTTTTCCACTTAGGCTGCTCCAAAGTAACGTGCATCAGCTTAACTCGCGAAGCCTCCATCAAGCTGTCTCCCTTACATGGGAAACAAATCTCCATTCGCTACTTGGACATGACAGACTGCTTCGTCCTGGAGGACGAGGGACTGCACACCATTGCCGCTCACTGCACTCAACTGACCCACCTGTACCTGCGCCGCTGTGTCCGCATCACCGACGAGGGTCTCCGCTACCTGATGATTTACTGCACGTCCATCAAGGAACTGAGCGTGAGCGACTGCCGCTTCGTCAGTGACTTCGGCATGCGGGAGATCGCCAAGCTGGAGTCGCGCCTCCGATACCTTAGCATCGCTCACTGCGGCCGGATCACAGACGTGGGCATCCGTTACATAGCCAAATACTGCAGCAAGCTGCGCTACCTCAACGCGCGGGGCTGCGAGGGCATCACGGACCACGGCGTGGAGTACCTCGCCAAAAATTGCACAAAACTCAAATCGCTAGACATTGGCAAGTGCCCTCTGGTCTCAGACACCGGCCTGGAGTTTCTAGCCCTCAACTGCTTCAACCTGAAGCGCCTGAGCCTGAAATCATGTGAGAGCATCACTGGGCAGGGCCTGCAGATTGTAGCTGCCAACTGTTTTGACCTGCAGATGTTGAATGTGCAGGACTGCGATGTCTCTGTGGATGCTCTACGATTTGTTAAACGACATTGCAAGCGCTGTATTATAGAGCACACCAACCCTGCCTTCTTCTGAAAGGACGCCCCACCCCTGTCATTGCAATGCAGTATTAAAAACACTGATGTACAAACACATGCTCCCATATTCAGTAATGCTGTTTTTTTTTTATCGCTGACGGGAGTCAGCTTTTCTTGTATGTTGTGAGTGAGGGGGTTTCTAAAGGACTATTTTGTTTGCTTTTTGTATGATCACTTTTTAAGGTGTGGTGGGTCTCCGTGGAGAGGCTGCCTTAATGCAAAAGCAATGAGTGCTCAGTATCCTCAGTGGGGTGCCATTTCCGTAACAGCCATGATCTTGTCATAGGCTACAGTAGCTACCTTCTAAGGAAATAGCACATAATCCCTCCTTTGGAAATGCTACTAAGCTGTGTCAAACACATCTGAATTCCAGCTGTGCTCATGAAGCTGGCTATGCAATATGTGTCTGTGTTCCCCAACTTCTTCCAGTATGGCTGACAAGTCACACCCTTGTCTCCAAGTAGTTTCTCTTCAGTAGTCATCCATTGTAATCCCTCAGGAATACCGGGTCGTGTTCTTAAATGTACGTGATTGAGGTAGAACAAGACCTGCTGGCTGTTGCTGAGGGCTTTGCTGAGTGAATCTGGAGATCGTGCCCATGCATGGATTCTCTTGGAAAGCCCACCTCCAGGTCACTCGTGCGTCATCACTACTTCTCTTCATTTCTAAATCTGCCCTCTCCTGCATGTGTAGTACCACCCTCTGGTAGCAGATAGGGAATTCTGGGTCTGATAAGCAGTGACATATTCACCCAAGTGAAGGAAAACAGATGAGATATTGGTTGTCTGGCAAAGGTAAAAGCCAACAAATCAGCCTGAGAAGCTTCTGTAATTCTGCAAGAAGCTGAGATAGCACTGCAGCGCAGCAGGGACTCTCTGAGGTGCAGTGGAGTGGCTTGCATGGGGCAGTCCCAGTTGCTGTGCTGCGCTGCTGTCACCAGAAAGTTTGTCTTTGTTCCTTCACTGCGTCTCTTCAGCAGCCATGGCACCACTGCTGTTGACTCTCCCTGAGCAAAGCCTGGGCGGTGAGGGAAGTTCAGTATGTGCCTTAATACACATAGAAACCCGACCCTTTTCTGTGGCCTTCCAGTTCAAAGCATAGGTGACTGATCAAAGACCTTAGCCTGGTGTTAGATAACACCCTTGGGGACAGAGGGGCTTAGAGTGTTATTCACATTAGATTTAGGTTTTGTGAAACCTCGTCTGTGTGTGTTCCCTTTGGCTGGACCAACAGCTGGTCTTCAACAAGGAAGCACAATGCCAGCGTTACCCTGTGGCACCGGGAGCCCCCTGTACTCTCGTGGTCACTCTTGCTCATGCAAGGGCAAGAGCGGTGTGGAGCTTCCCCCGTCTCACTGCCTCCTTCCCCCGAGCGTGTTGTCATTCCGTGGTTACTTTTTTCCCAGTTTTCTGGCAGCTGTTTCTCTGCGTTTTCACATGTAATGCTCAGCTCTGAAAGCCAGGCACGTTAGGAGTGATGATGTTTTCAGGCAGGCCCCTTGCGCCTGACTGACAGGTGAATTCATACGTTCAGCTCAAATGCTGTAAATGTCTCAGTAGAGAACAGAAGAAGGGAAGCACCGTGTCTGGTTTTCATAAGCAGTAGTTCCATCATCTCCAGACAACGCTAATAAAATCATTGATATGAAGTGAAAATCCATATGCTCGAGAAAAATACATAACTGCTGAGGAAATACCTGCAGCGATGCTCTCTCGAATTACAAAAAAAGCAATGGTTTGGACATGTCCCTGCAGAGGGAACTTGTCCTACTGCTGCAAAAAGTTCTGTAACTTATGTATGTTTCTCCAATTTTCAGTTTCTTAACATACGGGATGTCATCAGCTCTGAATTATAAATCAGATTGTACTAAAGCAAAGAGGGCCACGGAAAATTAATTTGTCGTTGCTACTATTACTGGTCAGTGAATAACAGGGGGTGATACCGTCCTTTGGCCAGTTAATATAACTTTGATTTTCCTTTCTGTATTTTTAAAATTAGAGATCCTTCTCCAGCAAGTCGTACTGTATATTTTATCCGAGCCAGCTATACTCTCTGTTTATTCTTTATCTCAAAATGGCCCCGAGGATAGTTAAATGTTAAGCCTATTCCTGAGGATGGTCGGATTTTGAGCCATTTGCACTCATGAAATATAAGGCCTCATTAGTAACATTTAACTGTCTATTAAAAGAAAAAAAAAGCTACTTTTCTGGCTATGCTAAATTGAGTGAATAGTGCTACATGGTTTTTAAGGTTTCTAATGTTTAAATTGGCCTGTACTGTACAAATCTCACTATAAAGCCTTAATTTGCTACCAAGAAATAAAGCAATATATTGGTAACTGATGAGTGTGCATCGTCATTTGCACTAATTGGTTAACTTCTGGTGAAAAAGAAATTCTTAAATACTTGTAAAACTTTTCTTGAAAGGTAGGTAGGTGAATGAGCACATTAGGTAGATGGATGACTATATTAAAAAAGGAAAAAATTTATTTGTTATAGATTATGACCTTGTCTATCTGTCTCTTTAAAATTTGATTTTCCTCATGTGGTTCTTCTTGACCCTGAAACGTAATCAGTAACTGGAAGTGTACATAAAAGAAAACACAGTATATAAAAAGCACATGTATAAAAATTTCAGGAAGGCCACTGCATTGCTTTAAAGGTGAGTTAACATATTTGATGTGAAAAGTAAAATGGAATGACTGAAAGGGTAGAGCACTACTAGTGCAGTGTTGCCTTTTGAATGCTCTAGAAAACCCATTCTGGGGGGCTCTGGTGGAAAATGAATAAAGGTAATTTTTTCTAAGCCAATCATTTTTAATTATATAGTCTTACATGATCTGAGTTGGCACTCTGAGACTGCTGCTTATTTCAAGAAAATTTGAACTTATTGATACAGCTTGCTCGTTTTGACTTGTAACCTTTTTCCTATGTCTACTTACAAAATGACACAACCAGGAAAGAAACTGAAATAGTGCATGTGGAGCTGAGTTTACTGGAAAGGTTGCCACATGTGACTGATGTGTCTTCGTTCCAGTATGGGGGTGGCAAAGGCTACAAATTTCCTGAGCGAAAACATTATTGATTCTTGAACCATAAAATTCGGGCTCAGGCACTGATGCTTCTTCTGCTCTGCAATAGCATGTGGTGATCTCATCAAAGAAAGCGGCGATGAATCACATCAGTCAGGCTGGCATGTTGTTTATGTCTTTGGAATAACTTGTGTCCCGTAGAGAGAGGTCTCTTAGAAAAGGCACATCTAAACTACCGTATGCTGCGATTGTAGCCAAAGCTCTGTATCTAGGTATTCATCCTTCTCGTTCCCTTGGCTTTCGTACAAAGTGGAACTTTTGTGCTAACTTTCCCTGTTAGCAGCATGAGATTGATGTGAAGGGCAACACTTTTGTCTTTTTGAACTATGCTCATCTGGCTTCCTACAAAATGCAGAACAGCTTCCGTTAGGTGTCTTGGACTCAGAACCGTGGTCCAGACTGTAACCTTCAGTAGTGGCTTACGCGGTTTCTGAAAACTTCTAGCCTTTGAACTGGAAAATTAAAAAGCTAGTAAAAGACCTAATTTTAGCACTAGGCTTGAAGCAGGTCCAAACCCTCATTAAAATGAAATATAGTGACCGTTTGGACTGCAGGCTGGCTGCCCTGCAGCTGCCAGTGTTAGTTTAAAGGGGAAAAGTTCTCTCTCAGAGTTGGTGCATGGCTCCTCTTCCCCCAGAGTTCCCCAGGAAAGTAACCTGCCCTCAGTTTTTTATAATTTTGTCAATTTAGCTATTCGTGCTGAAAATTCCTCCCATGCTGGGCTTTGAAAACGTTAGTTGAAATGGTTCATCTGGTTCTGTAAATAAAGCTAGGAGGAAATGTCATTTCGCTCATGTTAAACTCCTGGTGACCTTTCCTTTGAAAACGGTTCATTGCTCTTCATCTCCTCTAAGGCCTTGGAAGTGAGAGTGTGAGCCTTGCCAGGAGGTCAGCTTTGAGACAAGGGTGGTTAAAATTCACCCAAATTTAGCTGTGTTGCATGTCTTTGAGCATCTCCAACTCCACGACAAGGGAGAAAAGGGGCACACTCAGATCTTTTGGAGCTTACAGTCTGGCAAGGCTGAGATTTGGCAAAGCTAAGAGCGTTTATCACTCTGACAATGTGAAGGAGGAAATGACCTGAATTGTATGGAAGCTGCCTGGAAAGTCAGGGCAGGGTTGAAAGATGGGGTTTTGAGAACTGGGACAAGAAGAAAGATGAACAACTTTCCTGGGCAAGGGGGTTTGGGACTGAGATGAGAAGAGATTGAATGATTTTCAGCAAAGAAACTGGGGCTGGGGTTAAGACAGGTGGGTTTGTATGACTTGTTGAGCAGCGAGAGCTGGGCCAGAGAATGTGTAAGTATTGAAAAATGAAATTTAGGGCAGGAGCAGAAACATGAAGAAAATTAACTGAACATCATGTAAATACAGTACCCGCCCTGGGCAACGGCGGCTCTGAGAAAAGCTGACAAACTCAGTGCCGACGCCTCAAATTTGAAACAGCCTTTCAAAAACGAAAGAGTGATTTTGCATTTAGTGCACCCAGTGTCTACCCTTTTCAATATTTTGTGAAGCCAGAAAATCTTTACAGACAGAACTTCTGCCTTTGCCAGCAAGTGTAGACGGAGGCCTGAGACACTGTCGACCTCGGTGTCTCGTTCCTGCCTCTACGCCTTTGCGCGAGGTAGTCCGTCGAGAACAAGGCAAGGCGGGTTTGTAAAATCTCTTCTTCCTTCCTTCTTCGTCGTATTTCAGCCACACCAGCTGTTCTGCTGTGCCGAGGTGCAGGTGGCAGTGTGGAGCCAAATCCGTGCCCTTTTGACGGCTGTTAAAAGGCATAATAATAATAATAGGTTCAAGTTACTGCCAGGCAGTAGACATCAGAATTCAAACTTAGCTTAACAAAAATACATTTAACTGAACAGCATTACTGCATGCTATTAAACAGATTAAATCAGTTTTCT